CAAATGCGAGCAGGCAAGTTGAAATTTTGAGCCGTATATAAACACAATACAATCCCATTCCTCCCCCCACACATATATAAAATAATACAATTCCCAGGTATTCCAATTCTCCTGTAAAATATAATACAGAGCCCCCTCTCCTGCTTACCTTTTTGCAGGGAGCAGGCTGTGAGGAGGCACGATCGCTGGTGATTGATAAGATCTGCTGAAGACCTTACTAATCAATCCGAGTGTGGCACCGAAGCAGCTCTGCGGTCTGCATCCGACAGAGATAGCTGCTGCTCCCAGAAGTCGGGTACGTGGTCCGTGACCACATACCTGACTTGAGCTGGCTGCGGGGTACTTTGAGACCACTGCCCTAGATCATCTGAAGAGGTCTGACTTATCCCCAGTTTCTGGGGTAAGCCAAATTTGGTGTTGGAACTGCATTCAAGTCTCCTGCTATAATAATATTACCAGTGGAATATGCAGCAATGAGAGGTATCAGTTTAGGCAATGTTTGGATTGAGGCAAGTGGAGGAATATACAACCCTACTAAAACCAATTCCATACATTGTATCATAGCATGGATAATAACATATTTGTATTCACACTGACCGCCAATGTGACGAAAGTATTCGCCCTGACTGCCAATGTAACAGAATCATACTTACTGACTGCCAATGTAATAGAGGAATAGATAGTGGGCTCACTCCAGTCAACACAGCTAAAGTAATCATCGAGGTTAAAATAGCAGAAACAGTCAATGTAGCAAATACGTTGTCAGAAGTGAATAAAATAAGAAACGAACAACCAACATCAAGGCCAAACAATAAAACTAGTGGGGAACAAGTAGGATATAAAATTTTGTGACATAACAAGACAGGAATTAAATGTATGTACACAAACACTAGAAGTCTAGTAAATAAATTAGAAGAGCTTGAAATTATGATTTATACAATCATGGGTATGCCGCTAGGGAAGTCAGAAAAAGAAGAAAATTATGTGGGGGTCATTGTAGACCACAAACTGAATGGTAGCTTGCAGTGCCAAGCTTCGGTAAACAAAGCTAGCAGGGTCTTGTCCTGTATTAAGAAGGGGATGTATTGCAGGGACAAGTCTATAATTGTGCCTCTATATAGATCGTTGGTTTGGCCACATCTGGAGTATGCGGTCCAGTTTTGGTCGCCGGTACTGAGAAGGGATGTCCTTGAACTGGAGAGAGTCCAGCGGAGGGCAACAAAACTAATTAGGGGAATGGAGGACCAGAGCTATGAGACAAGGCTTCTGACCTTAAACATGTTTACGCTGGAATTAAGGAGATTAAGGGGGGATATGATTTTCATGTACAAGATGTTCAATGGTGACAGCAACATTGGCAACAAACTGTTTGAGATTAACTCCATTACAAAGACTAGAGGCCACCACCTAAAGTTGGTGGAGAGAAAATTCCAGCACAATGGGCGAAGAGGGTTCTTTACAGTAAGAGCGGTTAAGGTCTGGAACTCACTGCCATCGGCAATGATTTCAGCCAAGAGTGTAGATTTGTTCAAGAAACGTTTGGACAATTTCTTGAGGGACCGGAATATCCAGGGATATCAGTATCCCTAAGAATGAGATGATGCGTGGACCTATATGGGTTGGACTTGATGGGCGTATGTCTTTATTCAACCCCAAATACTATGTAACTATATGTAACTATGTAACGGAGGTAAATACACTGACCGCCAATGTAACGAAAGTATTCGCACTGACCGCCAATGTAACAAAAGCGTTCACAATGACCGCCAATGTAACAAAAGTGTTCACAATGACCGCCAATGTAACAAAAGTGTTCACAATGACTGCCAATGTAATGAAGGTATTCACAATGACCGCCAATGTAAAGAAGGTATTCACAATGACCGCCAATGTAAGGAAGATATACACCATACACATACTTAAACATACCTTGTTCTTGCAGTCTTCAGGCAGTCTTTTCTTCTTTAGCAGCAGGGGGCAACGATTTGCAAATGAATGGGGCTCAATATTTACATATGAATGGGTCGCGGCTTATTGATTTGCAAATTACCGCTGCCCATTCATATGTTAATATCTCAGCCGGGACAGTGGAGGAACAGGAACAGCACCAGTAGGCTCCGGAGAGAGCGAGAGAGCAGACAGCAGAGGGAGCTGTAGGCGGGGCTCTGACTATAGGAAAGTGAAGCTCAGAGCCCCATCCTTGTCACTGCTTCTGTGTATGGGAGGGAGGCAATGTTTTTCCGCCCTCCCCCACCAGCGCCCTCAAGCGGCCGCTTGTGTTGCCTGTGTGGTAGCGCCGGCTCTGGCCATGGTAACTGAATGCACCAGCACAGGGAGAGGGTCCATTCTAAGGGCTGGTTTACACCAGCTCCAGTGTGTTCCAGCACAATTCACCGCTGGAACGCACTGGAGAACATCCCGGCCAGCTTCCTGCGTTCAGGGCTGCTGTGCCATTGACTTCAACACACTGCCATGCCCCCTCCTGACCCTTCTGTGCGGGGGGATGGTGGTTGGGGGCCCAAGAAAAATAATCTTGAACCGGGGCCCTTTGTTTCTAAGGTCCGCCACTTAGGGTGTCATATGTTTTAAGAAATTGGAACACCAGGGAGTGTTTTATGGAGAGATGTAGTCCCCTCGTATTTCAGGAAACAATTGTGCAGAATGTCATGTGAGGTATAAAAATATGAACCACCTAAGGCTGGTGTCCAGGTTGGGCTGGAGGCATTAATTTATGACAAACAAAACAAACATATCACAAATATAAAAGTAATAAGCACCAGGTTGTGAAGGAAATACACTGGTGTATCAGATACTGCTAAGTACCACACCCGTAACACAAAACAATTGAAATATACACCTTATATCCCCTCATGCAGGTTATATAGATAAACTATAATGTTCCCCATTTCCACATACATCAGTGGTGCATCAAGGGAGCCATCTTGCAGGCAAATGTGCAGTCCTCTGTGATGGCCCATTTCCATATTGGGACCATTCACAGGAGCCAAGAGTATATAGAGGCAGGATGCTAGCAGAGCAGTAAAACTGCAGAGGAGAAGGAGATAGTCTAGCTCCATGAGTCACAACCTCCTGTCTCAGAGAGCAACATGTGCACCACAACCTAGAAGAAAGAATTCCTCATTGAAATCCATAAACTAAACACAGGTGGTGCAGCATAACACAGATGCAACTCAACAACATTGTAATGAGTGTTACTGCACAAATGCAAACGTGAGCGTTGATCAGAGCTCCAGTGAAGGTCAGGAGAACAAACCTAGTTAAAAGTATCCAGAAGTACATTTCTGGTGCAGTATAGTCTCAGACATGGAGTTCCTAATGCCCTAGGCCAAAGAACTTATAAACAAGTAGAAGAGCTATAACAGCAGGTGAGGCAGAGAGGTAGCTGGAATAAGAAACACACAGTAGTTAATATTTGCGTATATTCTCCAACTTTTCAGAAGTGTTTTTGGTGGGGTAAAGAAACATGTAGATTCCCCATCTTGGACTCTAAGTCAGACTTGAAAAAGCATAATATATTTTATGCCTTTTGCTCAAAGTTTAGCTTTACCCCTATCAAATGACCATTGCAACCATTGTGTAGCCACTGCATAGTCAGGAAAGAAGAGGAGCTTAGAATTCTCAAAACTAAGTTAACCTGGAGCCTGGCCTACTTAAGCACCAGACCATGGTCCTTGGCTTTAAGGATCTTAAAGGTTAAAGTATGTGGTTTTGTTCCTTGAGGTCTTCTGGCAGCAGGCATTCGATGAGCCTACTCCACAGCAAAGAAGTGCACCCAAGGGAGTTGTGTTTGGCATACATCAAATAACTGAAACAGCATTAGAACATTAAGTAGATGTTATGGTGCAGTATTTAACAGTTTGCCTTACTTGAAGGCATGAGCCTGGATATGGATGTGAGTGCACTGAATAACTCTTGTGGTTAGAGAAAAATTTGGTGTTTAACATAAAAGCACATATGAGTGCACCTGTCTTGTGAAGTACATAGGCTCACTTTAATAAATCACAGCACTCACCACAGTAGCGTATATTATCTGTCACAATGCAGAAAGGTTCTGTATTTAGCATGTGATCGTAACCATCCTCCTGGTGAGTGCTCCTGAGACAGAAAAATGATCAATCACCATGGCACATTTCTCAGATTGATATGCGTCTACACTTCAGTGGTGTGCCCTCTTCCTCAGAATACTCAGATGAGATCACATTATACAGAGAGAACTTTTGCACATTGTGACAGAAAGTGTATTATACACTACTACTGTTGGGTGTTTTTTTTTAAAATGTGGCTTATTAAAGTGCCTTTATGTACGCCAGCACATAATGGAGTTCTTTTATATTTTACAGTCTATACTCTGTATAATAAAATGTTTTACTGCTCAGTGAGCAGCTATCATTTCTGTCTTATTGTGTACTGACACAACCAAAAACATGTCTGCTAACACAGTCAGTGCTAAGTTGATACAACTGGAATCATGTCTGCAGAGACACAATAATGTACTATACAGACAGAAACAGAAACAGAAACATGACTACAGAGACACAACAGCATACTGATGCAACCAGAAATAAAACAAAACTGTGCAGTAGAACATTTACACTCATTATTTCCCTTGCTGCTCTTTTATAGTGGTAGTTAAGAAAAGTATTTGGTATATTAAGGTATGGGGAGCATGTGCCATACTCCCCCTTATACTACCTAACAGAGCTAGTGCTTTACAGTGGGATGTTCAGGCACCAGTGCTGTCACGCAGGGGTGGTAAGAGAGTCCTTAGCCCTCTGTAAGTTCCAAGCTAAAACTAGCCTTAGGCTTATATGGCCTAGTTAGAAATCCAGCCCTGGCCACACACCTTTTTACCTACATCCACACTCTAGGTACAGAATCAAACTGCAGCCAACAGCTTTTGCACACAACAGTTTAAATTATTTTTCTGTGCTTTTATAAAAAAATATACCTATAGGGTAATACAAGCATAGAGAAGATACCTTAAATGTAAAAGTCTCATTAAATGTTGGGTTGAGAGTCTTGCGGTGTACTTTAGTTTCATGCTTCTTCTTTTTGTCTGGGAGAAGAAAAACTTTGACATAAGGATCAGATGTCCCACCAATGTCCAAAGCTGGAAGATCTGCAGCCTGAATAATTCCCACAACCAACTGTAAAAAACAAATGCATAGTACAATAAATGGTGTGGTTCTAATTTAGATGGCCCTTTGTTTTTTTTTGTACAATGTTAATCAATCTAACCAATTCACACTGTGTTCAGTATGTCTGTAATTCCTTGATGTATACAGTATATAGGTCCCATAAAGAAGAAGTTGCTGAAACCTGTTAGGGTTAGAACACACATTTGGGACACTAGAAATGAAAAAGACAACAGACAACAATAAAAAACTAATAGGGATTCAAGCATTTCCCTACTTAAAGTGACACTAAACTCAGGAGTTAAATCTTAAAAATGCATTCAAGTACCTTTAACTATTAACAGAAATTTAGCTTATTTGTGTATCTCTTGGCTGTAGATCCTCAAATCATCTCTGAATTTTTGCTGACACTGTCCTTCCTTCTGGAGGGTGGCTACTTTTGTTTCCATGGTCTCTGTGTTGTAAAGTAGCTACTGCTCTCCAAGCTCGCTCCCGTGATGGACTACACGCTTACATTTAATTTACTTATTTGTATTGAGATTATAGTCCATCACAGGAGGGAGATTGGAGCGGTGGCTACTTTAGACCCCTAATGTCACCTATAGACCCCAAAGAAGCTGATGAAGCAAAGATCATGCTTCACTAGCTTCTTCTCTGGCTACAGAAATGACTGGAGAAATTACATACTGAAACCGGAAGTGATGTAATACACATTATTTCCACATTCAGTGATCGGAGGGCAGATTAGCCACTAGAAGTGTGTTGAGCTCTCTCCGATCTAAGTGCAGAGACCTACCATGCCAGTCCTGGGCCTGCACAGGGGATGACAGAGCATGGCATAGCCGGCAATGGCAGTTGAGGAGGGAAAGAGCACTTCCCCAGCACCGTACAAGCGATTGGGTGGCTCTACAGCCACCTGAACACTTGTATATAACAGCTGTAAAAAATGTTCAAAGTGGGAGCAGAAAAAGATGTTTAAAAACAACTTCCACCCACCCTCAAGTGCGAGCTGTCTGGCTGTTGTAATTAAATGGCCAGATGGCTCACACTTGGGGGGTGGTTGGATGTTTTTAAACAGGCAGTTAATTTAGAAATTTCCCATAAGTATCTTGTACAATTGTGCCTAGTTTCTCATTTAACATTGTACATTTTAATCTATTTTTAACGTCAGAAAAAAATTAATGTTGAGAATTTCTAGGAGCTGGCCTTGGTTTGCTTTGTGGGAGGGAAGGGAAGTGCTAGTCAATTCCCTCTGGAAATTTTATAGAATTTACCCTAGGTGAGAGGATTGAATTTTTACATGGGAGGCCTTTACAAAAAGTGTTTTTTCTTCAATACTTACCTTCAAACTGGAGGTGTTCCTCACAGTAATTCTTCATTGGCACACGATGTTGCCAGACTTTTGGGTTGAAAGACCCACTTCCTGGGAAACCAGGGTAACAATGTCCCACCCCTGGGACAGTAGTAGAGTGGCGCTATGTTATTATGTAACAAGGCAGATCACTGGAGATGGGATTTAAGTGAATGTCCCACCCTTGATTTTTTAGTATTATATCACCTTTGCTGAAGCAGACAACTAACCCATGAACAGTACAAGTACAGCTAATTTAATGTTATCAGTTCTGGTGGTCCTAGTCAGGATATAAATCTCCACAGGAGTAACATCACTGGAGTACAATGTACAAACAGGAAAGCTCAACGCTATGTTTTCTGAGAAATGTACACATATAACCCTCTCCAAAAGAGGAAAAGGGTTATGGGTGGGTTATGAGTGGCACTTTTCAATGTCAATCCTTTAAAATTTAATTTTAGGCCTGTCCACAGCTGAAATATATTATTTATAAATTGTTTTAGCTGCCAAAAGATCAGCAATTCTGTTTATCCAGTCTGGTGATCCATGCATCCTGGGCAGAGAACACAATTAGGTCCTGGACTTTCCTCCTGGCTACACTACAGTTAACCGATACAGCTTGGTTCATGACCTGGCCCTTATGCTGATAAGGTCATCCCTGTGCTCTCCCATCCCCCAGCATGCTCACAGTACTAGTTTGACAACAACGTAATAGTTTTTCAGTTCTGTTTTAATGAAATATCCCAACCTTGGGATTTTTAAAGCATCGCTCAGCTAATGTTATACTAGAATAGCTAGCATAATCAGAATAAACAGCATGCAATATTTTTATTTTAGCTTTTGGGCTTCATCAGCATTGGACAGATGGATCTGGATGCCTTACTGCAAAAACATTGCGCACATACCTGCCCGTTTTGGAAATCATAATCCAAGGAATACTGCAGTTTTCCAAGTTTCTCCTCGGGCTTCTCTTCTTTCCCATCACCTAGCAGAGAGGGGTCCAAATCTTCAACATCTGGCTGCACCTGCACAGAAAAATATAATTTAATTGTTTACCATTTCTTTATACAGAGGTAACAGTCCTTAGTAACAATAACTACATAAACATGCTTCCCAGCTGTGGGGATCTTTATGAAGAGCAGGTTAAAAATAAAATGAATGTTGGCTAGCATATAAAACAACCCCATCTTACCTCGCCAAGAGGGTATTAGCCATATAGGGTGTGATATTGGTATGGTTTGGAACCATAACACTTACGTATTATATGTCATTGAGTTGCAGTGCTTCTGCATTCATGCTTGGCGATCGTAACCAATGGATCGTGGGGCAAGGTGGGCAACGGCACTAGGCCTGGATGGTATCAGAGTTTGGAATTTATAATTTTATAACTTCAATTATTCTATTGTATGTATTGGAATGTATACCTTGGATTAGATGAGACGAGATCCTACATCCCCCCCACCTGTCAATCAAGTCCCAATCCCTTCCCACAACCTCCCAACCCCCACCTTCCCCTTTGTACCTTCCCACAATCACGCCTGATGGGTCAACTTTCCCGAATTCAGAGCAAGATCTTAGAGTATGTAATGAATATTTGATAGCGTGCTCAGAAGTATGTAATGCGATGCCATAGTGGTTGATTGTCTTCCTTTATCTGTCTGTCTATCTAATGTTTCCCCTGTATATCTAAGGTTTCCCCTGTATTCTTATTTGAAAACTTGTTTCAATATAAACGTATACAAAAAAATTAATAAAATGAAGCATTTTCAGGGTAGTTTAGTCTGATAAGTAAGAGTTGAAGTCTACATGGTTGCTCTAGGTTACTTTACTTTGTTGTCTGCCTTAATAAAGTATGTTATTCTCTGGGCTAAAAACAGGAGACAATGGTAGAGAAGAAAATAAGACACTTGAAAATGAAAGGAAGAGGGCAAAGAGAGTTACCAATCATAATGTACAGTTAAAAGAGCATTGTAAAGTTATAGAAACAAGATTAAGAACAAAAGATTTAATTTACAAAGCAATTACTGTACCCTCATGTGAAATGAAATGTCAAAGTAGTGCATGATGTCTGGCAAGACACATTTGCTTTGTGCAGCCAAAAAGTGACTTCACTAATAGAAAAAGTACAGACATGTAAGCCGGCAAAAAATCTGTTTAGTTTAGTTTCGTATGTTTTGTTATTTTGTTTTTCGGGATTCGGGTAGAAAATCAATTTGTTTCGTCATTCGTCATTTTTTCGCTTTAACTTTTGACAGTCCACAGGAACAATAAAATAAAAGAGCGTGCAGTTCCCCCAACAATTCCTACCAGTCTCTTTAGGTCTGGTAGTTCTCCCCCCACCCTTTCCTGCCCTACCAGATCAAGGATCAAGGGTCTGGTATTTAATTTTAGAGGGACCCACTTTGTGGGGGGGTTGGTGTTGGGGTCCCCCCTAAAATTTTCCTACCAGACGTAAAGTGTCTGGTATCAATAACTCAATTACTGGGGGAACCACACACTGTTTTTTTTTCCTTTTATCTCTATATTGTTTATGTGAACAGTTTAACACTTTTGTCTATACTGTGACAGTTGTCAGATTCTTTGTTTACATTTGGGATGTCCGGAATGTCATCAAAGAGTTGTTACAGAAAAACACACAGCTCTGGGCTTCTTTCTTTGTGTACATTTTGTAACAACATTCTGATACTTTGTTGACATTCGGAATACAAGTCCAGAATGTCAGCAAAAGATCAGAGAGGCCAGTGAGCTATAAATGACACAGGTTCTTGGTTTTCTCCAGATTCTTGGTTTTATTTCTAATGACATTCGGATGTATCTGGATTTCATTCAGATACGTTCAAATTAGCTTTTTCTGTCATTTGGAAATTCGGCTGCATCCGAATATCCAAATATACAGAAATGCATACGCATCTCAATATGGAACGAAAAGAATTGCACATGTATAATCAACAAGTGCAATAGAGGCAACAGCACCAATAATGATCCATCATCACTATACCCAAAAAAACATAGATCTACATAATACTGTATGTATTAGTGGAGGATTGAGAACTTTTAACCTTGGGAGCAAACACAACCAACTGCTCCTTTTCAAAATGTGGAATCTGACAGTTAGGAATGCAAAATCTACCATATGATATACAAAGTGGAAGTGTGGAATACACAATGCACAAAACATTGCACAGAAGGCAGTATACAATATAATATGGAGAGCAACATGAATAGAAAGGAAGACTGTAAGCCCTCATTCACACAGGTATCAGCCCGCACGTGCAGCTCCATGCTGTGTGCAGGGCCGTACCATGCAGCTCCCGGAAGGGACAGGTGCTGCGTGTGATTAGTACCTGTTCTGCCTGATGAAGGGGATCCTGTGTGACCCCGAAACGTTGCAATAAGTGTATTGTTGCATGATGCGTCAATAAAAGACGTTTTTCTACTTTGGAGTGCCGGTGTCCATAATTCTTTATACTTTGCCTGGACGGTGGCCATCCGTCCACTACTGATGCACCCAACCCATTCACCAAGGATTTAGCGGTAAGGAGTGCAATGGGTACACTGACTATTACTGATTAGTACACAGCCCCCGTCCTTCTCTATGGAGACTACGCGGCCGTACGCCCCCTACGCTCACCTACCCTGCACGTCCGTAGGGGTGCGGGTGAGCGTACTCGTACGTTGACAGGATGGATCCTGCCTGCGTCCGAGCGAGGAAACACGCACCCTACGGACCTGCACTTGAGGTGAGCGTAGGGAGGCGTACGGCCGCGTAGTCCCATAGAGAAGGATGGGGGCTGCATAGTAATCATACGCAGCACCTGTCCTTCCTGGGAGCTGCTTGGTACGGCCTTGCACGCAACACGGAGCTGTACATGCGGGCCGATTCCTGTGTGAATGAAGGCTAAAAGAGGGCTGTACAGCAGAGCATATATGGGTATGTGTGGAATAGGAATCATAAAGCACAATGTACAAACTGGGTTAGTGTGCTATACGGAGTATACAGAACAGTATACAGGATAAGGCGATCTTGAATCGGGAATGTGTACAGAACAGTTTCACAGAATGAGCTGGTGTGGAATAGGAAATATACAGCACCACACACAAAGTGGGACTGTGTGGAAAAGGGAATGTACTGCACAGCTTACTGAATGGGACTGTGTGATTCGGGAATGTACAGAACAGTGTACTGAATGATACTGTGTGAAATAGAGAAGGTACAGCAGAGCATACAGAATGAGGCAGTGAAGAAAGAAAAAGTACTACAAAATGTTATTTTAACCCTTTATTAAACCCAACTCTTAATTAACCCCAATTGAATCATTGAATCTTCACTTTCCCCGTTCCCTTTAACTTTTTTGCCAATTTTCTAATGGATAAACACTTAAAAACAACAGTAATGCAAAATTAAAAAAAGAGCTATTTTAAAATATATGGAACGAATTGTAAAAAAAATTAGCACTTTATATCTATCATCATGTGTAAAAGTAAGTACATCCTATGAAAATTGTTGACTTTTTTTTTTTTACCATATGTGAACAAGCAAACATTTGATCTTTATTTAAACAGTGCCTACTATAAAAAAAAAATTCTGGCACATCTTCCATGCAGGTTAAATTAGTATTTCCCCCTTTAGCAGAAATGACTTCTTGTAGGCATTTTGGAGAACTGCCGGCCAGTCTCTAACATTGACTTGTAATGTTTTCCCATTCCTATGTGCAAAATTCCTTCAGTTGCAAGATGTTTGTGGATTTCCTTGCATAGACTGCTTGTTTCATCTTCTCCTTACACAACAGTCTCCATTCACACATTAGCGTAACTATACATGCATAAATGCGCAAAACATAAATAGCAATACAGTCTTATGGGGCATGTTCACACCTGCGTGTTCATTCGCGGAGTGCGGGAAAATGTACATACACAATTTTCCAGGTGATATCAGAGCATCCTATCCTCCAAAAGACTATGGTTGTAGCTGCAAACGCGTGAAAAATGCATGCCTATTAACATTTGTGTGTTTTTGTGCGCGCATACGACCGTAAAAAAGTGCCGAATTCTAAACGCACGGGTGTGAATAGTGCATTAATCGCATTCAAATCAGGGTTTTGACTAGGCTCAGTCAATGGCCCTATATTTGTTCATTTTAAACCATTTCCTAATAGATTTCCTAATATTCTTCAGATCATAATCATATTGAAAGATCCATTTTCAGTTTAAAGTAGTATTAAACTCCCAAACTTTTTTTCAATAATGAATCCAGATCAAACAAATATACATTGCCCAACAAAGCATTGCTTTACATTTTTGCCCAAACACTTACAATCATCATGTTTGTGAACAGCTGCTTCCAAGTCTATCAGCTCAGCTTCCCTGAACTTCCTGTCCTGTACAAGATCACAGTGCAGACTCCAGCAACTGTTCATCTACTAGCTTGGAGCAGAGGGGGCCAGGGGGGAGGGAAGTAGCTTGATTTGCTGTGTCTAGGTGTTTGTGGAGACACACACAGCTAACTAGCACACACAAGGGTGACTGCATAGAACTCTGCTTAATGCTGTGCACACACCTCACAACCATCGCAAGACTTTTGTCTTGCGATGGTTGTAAGGTACTTGAAAAAACGTACGATCTGCCTATCTTGGACAGGCAGATCGTACTTGCGATGATCCCAAGCCGCCCCCCCAAGGGGCGGTCTTCCAATGACCGCAATGCACACCGGCCCGTCCGGCTTTTATCTTACGAACATGCTACACACCCGCCGAACATCGTACGATGCTCGGCAGGTTTTCGAACATGTTTGTAAGTTAAAAGTCATGCGACCTTACAGTAGTAGAGGTCGCATGGCTTCCACACACCTTGCGATAATCGTACGATCGCGGGATTTCCTGCGATTATCGTACGATTATCGTAAGGTGTGTGGGCACTCTGAGAATGGAGGCAGCCTAAAAAGTCAGGACCAGCTGATTCTGCAGGAAACTAAAACTTTTAACACATCAAGAAGCAGCATCATATTGTAAATTATTTCATCAGCATTTAAAATAGCTTAAAATTACTTAAATATCACTTTAATGGCCACCACTATGTTTCACAGTAGGTATTTCTCCTGAAATGCTGTTTTTGGTTTGCACCTAAAATGTCTACTGTTATTGTGGCCAAATATCTCTCTGTATCATTAATCAGCGAATATCTGCGAATACCTTGAAAAATGATGATATTGAAAACCGGCTACGCCGCAATAATATCTGTGCTGTCGGCATACCAGATCGCGCTGAAGGTGCCAATGCTACTGATTTTATTGAATCCTGGCTGTGCGAAGTCATTGGGAAACATTACCTGTACCCGCTATTTGCTATGAAGATGGCCCACAGGGCTCCATCTCGTCCGCTGCCACCTGGAAACCCCCCTAGACCCTTGCTGATCCGGCTGCTCAATTACCGGGATAAGGAGCGCATACTGCGGAAGGCGCGTGATCTTGGAGAAATCTCTCTGGCTGGCTCTAAGATTATGCTGTTCCCAGATTTCTCCCAGGAGGTTCAACGTCGCAGAGCAAAATTCCATGAGGTTAAGAAGCGTCTCCAGCACCTGCACCTGTGCTACTCCATGCTTTACCCGGCGAGGCTCCAGGTGGTCGCTAATGGAGAAACACAGTTTTTTGACATCCCTGCACAAGCTTAGTCATGGCTGACCGCCACCTGACCACTCAGATTTGCCTCCTACTTGAGCCTAACACCTGAAGATCCCTGTGTGACGGACCCCCGTACTCAGGATGAGTATGTCCGCCGCTGTCTTCTTCCTTGCTGAGGAGATATTGGAACCCGCTGATCTGTAGCTCCCAGTTTCCCCAGTCACTAGCCAAGGCTTGAGTGTAGGGGAAACAAACTCTCGTTTATTGAGAAACTGCACAAACTTTTATACAGAAAGTGATCAGATCAGAATATAATCCCATCACATCCCCCTTCCCCTCCACAGAAATCCTGTCTTCACAACACCACAGGGGTCCACCTGCTAAATAGCTCCAGACAGCCATGGCAGTAGCCTGGCCAGAATGTCATTGTTCTGAGCTCCCTCAGAGAACAATGGGAGATAACGAGGGATGGTGCTGATAGTCTTTTCATAACCAGGTCACACAGCATAACGCACTCAAAACATAACCCAACACCAATACACATTTAACTTATAAACTCATCACCATGTCCTCACACCCTGTCCTAGTGATAGGGGACTTTAACCCCTTTCGTATATAACATGGGTGCAAAAAATGAAAAAAGGGCCTCAGTCATGAAGGGGTTAATGGAGTTTTGAATACTAGCCTGGACAGGTTTCCTCACCGGTTGGCAGCGGACACGTCAGTCGCAACACATCTCAGTAAGCTCTGTGTAGAGCTTGGGCTGGTGGATTTATGGCGCCTGTCCCACCCCACAGATTTACAATACATTTGCCACTCTAGGTTGCATAGCTCCCTTTCGCGGATTGATCTTGCCCTAGGCACCTCGGAAATGTTTCCCTATGTCAAATCGGTTGATATTCATCCGAGATGCCTTTCAGATCATTCCATGCTCACTGTTCAGTTGCTCGTAGGCAGCCGTAGGTCCATGCTCCCTTGGCACCTGCACCCGTTTTGGCTGACGTTATTTAAGGATCACACAGCATTGGAGAGTGACATTCGATTTGTCTTATCTGTGAATATTCCCCCTGCGTCTGTTGGTGTGGTTTGGGATGCGCTGAAGGCCTACCTTAGGGGTACCTTCCTTAAGAATGTTAGTTCTAATAAGTCCAAGACTAGGCGGGACCTGTCTTTGGCCCGCCAACTGGTAGCTGATAGTGAAAGGACCTATGTGGCCAATCCTACGACATGTACAGAGACTGACTGGCTGACTGCACAAGGCTCTCTAAATACCCTGCTGAAGGAGCAGTCCCAGAATAAACTGTTTTTTACCAAACGGGTCTTATGGGCGGAGGAGGATGCGACAGGTAAACTCCTGGCTCAGGTAGCTAGAGCCCAACAACCCTCTAGCCATATCGGCGCTATCTCCGACTCTATGGGGGTTACCCATTCGAGCCAGGGAGTGGTGTCCGAAGTTTTCCAAGCATTCTACGCATCCCTATATCAAACAAAGGCTAGCTATTCTGACTCCGAGCTTTCGTCCTACCTGCAAAGCGTTCCCCTTCCATACCTGTCACCTGCTGACAGCATGGATCTGGAGGCCCCCTTACTCTGGAGGAACTGGAGGTGGCACTGGCTAGCTTCCCCAATGGTCGGGCTCCCTATTGAGGTATATAAAACTTACACTACTGCACTCCTACCTGCACTCCTGGAGGCGTATAATGATGCCTTTTCCTCTGGTTCACTGCCAAACACGATGTATGAGGCTACAATAGTGGTAATCCCCCCAAAAAATAAAAACCCATTGCTACCGGAATCATATCGACCTATTTCCCTATTGAATGCCGATATTAAGATCTTGGCCAAAGTGCTTGCAATGAGGCTGTCCCGGAAAATTACATGGTGATACATCCAGACCAATACAGCTTGATGCCCAACAAACCCACTGCCATCAACATCCGTAGAGTGTTCCTGAACATGCAAGTCCCCGCCGACAATACGGGCAACAGGGCGCTACCCGGCCTGGACATTGCTAAGGCGTTTGACAGTGTGGAGTGGCGCTATCTGTGGGCGGTGATGGGTGCCTTTGGTTTTAGTCCCAATTATTGCAGATGGGTGAGCCTGCTGTATCATCACCCCTCTGCAAGGATCAAGGTTAATGACTCCCTGTCCTCTGCCTTTACTTTACAGAGAGGCACCAGGCAGGGGTGCCCTTTGTCGCGCTTACTGTTTGCCCTGGCTATTGAGCCTCTTTGCTGCCTTGGTCAGACACTCGGCGGATGTGATAGGCTTCAAACGGGGCACGCTGGAGGAGAAAATAGTTTTATACGCCGACGACACCTTGTTGTTCTTGGCGGACACGGTATCCTCCTTGACTAGTGTTATGTCCCTATTTTCGGAATTTGCTACCTACTCAGGCCTGCTCGTTAACTGTGAGAAATCTAACCTTCTCCCGTTGGATCCACTGAGTGCACCACTGGATAATACTATGGCTCACCTACAGGTGCAATCTACCATTACATAACTACAGTAGGAATACAGGTATCCGCTTCCCCAAGCGACTGTCTTACTCTGAACTTGCACCCCCTTTTGGGGAGATTTAAATCTCAACGTAACTCTTGGGTCAAATTCCCGCTGTCAGTGGCTGGTAGAGCAAATTTGATTAAGATGGTCTGGATGCCTGAATTATTATATGTGCTTCATAACTCCACTCTTTGGATCCCTAAAATAACCTTTCAGTTAATAGTTAGTATCTTTAGGGAATTGATCTGGAAACCGAAACCCTCTAGACTTGATGTTCCACAGAGGCCGAAAGCCTCGGGGGGACTTGCCCTCCCTTGTCCATGGTTCTTTTTTCTAGCCTCACAGCTGCAACACTTTACAGGCTGGGCATCTGGGGATCATCAACCGCAGTCCTTCCGTATCCTTCGCCACCTATTCCGGGGGTTATGCCCTTTACATTATTGGATAGTGATCTATACAGCAAAACTTACTCTACATACCCTACCTTGAAGCTGATGGGGCAGGTCTGGGATGCGGCTAAACTAGCACTAGGCATTGATGCCCTGACCAGATATATGCCGCTGTGGCGGAATGGTCGCCTACCGGAGCGTCTCCCTCTCCAGGGCATGGTTGACTGGTCTAGGAAAGGGGTGATAACTATTTCCCACTTGTACAGGGAGGGCATGCTGCGGGACTTTAAGGAATTGACTGAAACGTATGGAGTCCCCGGTAGGTGCTACTTCCAGTTCCTCCAGATTGCCTATGCTTTAAAATCCCAGTTTCGACAGGGCCCTCCTGTTTTATCTCCCACTCCGATATTTGATACTGTACTATTGGCGGCCTCCACCAACGGGATTATCTCCTTTCTATATGCTCATCTTCTGCTTAAATCCAATGTTCTCCTCCCTCTGAAGTGCAGGGGGGTTGGGAGGGAGATGTGGGGCCCATAGAGGACGATGTCTGGGAGGATGTTCTTCAGGGGGTTACCCAGGTCTCCCTATCTCCCACCCATAGACTGACGCAACTGTTTATAATTCACAGAACATATCGCACCCCTGAATTCTTGTTCCGTATCGGGCTTAGAGCTGATTCCAAATGCCCCAAATGTGGTTTTCATAGTGGCTCCCTGATCCACCTGCTATGGAAATGCCCTAAGCTGGTTCGGTATTGGGATCAGATTGTGAATACCCTTAACCCTTAGATGGCCCCAGAGCATGTGACCTATTTACATCCTCAGTGACAAACTCCTCATTAACGTGTATTCTGGGCATTGTGGACTCTGATGATCTTACACATCACACCACTACAGCATTTAAACGTGCCTTATTTACCGCAACCAGGTTGGTGGTCCGTAAGTGGATCTCCCCCTCCCCTCCTACTTTGAACTCATGGCTAGTAGAATTTGACAGGATGGTCGCGTACAAGAGGGTTACTTTTCAACAGAGGGGTACCTTGCCTCAGTTCCACTCTCTCTGGGACAGCTGGCTGATGTATCGTGGTCAGGACATCTCTGACTAGTCAGCTCGCACCTCATACTCACTGTTGATACTTGTGGCTAGACCTGGCTTCTCCTATACGTAGTCAATCGCTTACAGAGGAAGGAGTTGGCTCACTGCACAGTGTTCTGTATGTATTATTTTTCACAATGTGCTTGTTATAGCCTATGTCCACCATACTCTTTCACCTGTGGACAGCCTATTTCTGCATGACACTATGCTTCCCTCCCCTCCCTCCCCTTCCTTTTTTTATTTGTCTGTTAGTTTGATCTTTGTTTTTTTTTTTATTTGTCTACTGTACTTGAAAATATGCAAAAGCAATTAAAACTATCTGATTTAAAAAAGAAAACAGGGGTTTAGAGAAGAGGTATACCGACACTGCATTGATACATCTATGCAGTGGGGCTTCCACAAGGCAGCACAGTGGGGCTGTGTCTGCAGGGAGCCTGCGACTGACAGAGGCGGTCTATCGTGCGGTGAAAGCCGCTGCTGGTCGTCTGGTGCTCGAGTAAAGTGAGAGGCAGAGCACGGTGTGCAGGAAGGGCTAACGGCACGATCGTGGCAGCCGGGGAAGGAATGTTGATGACATAAAATCTTAAGCTGGCAAGTTGGCTATGCATTTTGAAGCTTGGCGCTTCTTTATCAAGCTGGATAT